AGCAGCAGTCAGTTCAAACTTGTTATTGGATTGTCTTGATGTGTCCTCCTCTTGCAATTGTCTTTTTACAGCTTCATGTCAAAAGGAAAGGAAGGGGTAATTACAAAAGTGTCTGACTTAAAGGTTTTTGTTCATCATGCACTACATTAAAATTAACAGTGGATCAAATGGCAATATGTAGAAAAGAAGAACAGCTCTGCTAAAATCACCGGGCACCATCTGCCCAGTAGCAAACTGTAGACCCGAGGGAAGCTACAGATTCAGTTCATTCCTATGAGCAAACGCCTTTACGCTGTCATATTGTTTTCATATTGTCATGTGATACACTGTTATTAAAAATATACAGACTATAGCCACTAATAATGAGTTACATGCTGTAATGATTTCTGAGTGAACAGCAGCCAGATTCTTGTCATCATTAGGAGGCTGAAAGCCACAGATGGTTAGGTTACCAGCAGCCAAGAAATACTAACAGCATGTAACGGTTCATTAACCTACAATTTATTCTCTTTAGATTTCTTTTATTGTACAGATCAACATATGAGCAAAAGAAGTGCTGGTGAGTAGATTTCTAAAAGGCTAGCCCTCTCCCAGCTTTGCAGCCTTTAGGCTAGGCTATAGGCTCACTCTCTGCTGGCAGGGAATGCTGAACTATTCCTTTGAGATTAAACCCTGGGGAGAAACGCTTTGAAAACATATACTGTAGAAGCCTGTGCGATGCTGTGGTTTTCCTCAGAAATGGATAACCTCATGTGCAGCCTACCAAGGAAAAGAGACAGACACGCAAGCACACGTATACACAATGAGTCCAGGATTTTTCTGTCAGCGCTCCAGTGATAGCTATATCCTGTGAGTCGTTTCTCCAACTCCCTCTTTCTGGCAGATTGCTGACTCATGTTTTCTGCTCCCCCCCACCTCTGTGTGTGTGTGTCTCTGTGTTTTGTTTTCTTTATAAATCCACTCTGCAGCCTTTTCCCTCAACACCTCTTCTTTCTTAGACATACGTAGTATAGTTGCATTCCCCACTTTGTGACCTCTGCATGGGTATGTGTGTGTGTGCACTCACATATGTATGTGTGGGTGTGTTTATGCATGAACCCCCCCCAACACACACATACACACCCCATCTGTGTGGTTTCTTTTATGTTTGAAAGAATAGATAGTTGCCTCACACTGTAGCTGTATAGCTAGCACCGTCTCTTAATGAGAATAATGCCTGCTGTGCCCCAGCTAGGGGCCCAGTGTTCTGTGTGGGAACCAGCATTTTACTGTAGCTGGAAAAGCTTCTTCTTTAGTCTTTTGTCCTTTATGTCTTAGAAATATATGTGTGGTTAGCCTGACAGTGTTTTCTGGAGTTCTGACACTTCTCCAAGAAGCACTGTAGTGATGTGCAGTGGCATTTGGTCAGTTTTTTTGAATGTAATATCCAGATGTCTATTTTTCATATTTTTTAAAACAGCAAAGGAGACATAGGAGCTCACATTTGTTGGAGAAAAAAAAACTAGTTAATCACATAAGGAAAGCAGAAACTGCAATTGTGGCTATGTGCAAAGGAGAGAACAGCCTGTTCCCTAATGGCCTGGGAGTCAGCCAAAAAGGTTGAAAACAACAAGCTCCTCAATGGATTCCAAGACAGTAGGAATCCATAATGAGCCTGGGCGACACTTAAGTAGAAGAATATGACCTATGAACATCTGTGCATGTCCAAACGGTTGAGTATGAGAATTCTGAGATTTACATTTTGAAGAAATAAAAACACAGTTTTTGACTTAATGACAATACCATGTTTTTCCCAGTAGTGATTGGGGCTAAAGATATGATGTTGACAGTCACTTTGTCTGTTTTCCTCCCAAGGCCCCAGCTGTGTTAGATTTCTCCCTGGAATGGGTCACTGCAACTGCAAGTCACTCTGAGGAAGGTTTTGCCTTCTTGGTCCTGGAAAAGACACCTTCCATAGTTCTGTAGGGAGACTTCAATGCTCATGAGAGCAGTGATGCATGAGAGCAGTGATGGAAAAACCTGGAGGTGGGTGACAGAGAGAACTGATCTGAATTTGAGAGTGGTTATTGGACTTCTGTGCTAGTCAGGGATTGGCCATAACAAACACCATGT